ACTTAAAGATATAATATTGGGGATTGGGCGAGGGCGAACACTTGGGAACACTTGTGATAATCATGACTAATAAGATACACAAACATCGGAATGAGTCTAAGCAACCGAAAAATACGGAAAAGAAGGCAAACACAGCTGGACCAGAAAGGGGCAACCAGACAACAAAGTACTGACAATTCTGGCAAATGCAATTCGGGGAGTTCTTCAGTTTGGAAGGGGGTTACGAAAATAAGTCTGGGGATAAGCTCATTTAAATGGAAACAAAAATCGAAGGGTGAGCAAGTGGAACAGAAAAATAGAGTTGGGCGATGAATATTTGATAATATCATAGAATATGAGACAAACAATCTCCAAGTCTAACAAGAAAAATAAATGGTTTAACATAAAAACTATATATTATAAAGTTTACAATAGACAAAACCACAAAAAAAAACAAAAATGTTTTATATTTACATTAACTAAATTAAAAAATAGAATTACCAGAAATCCTAAAATAGTTGTATCATCTCATGATGTTTTTTTTACTAATCTAACAGAGAAAGAACTTTTGCATTACTCATAAGAAAGAAGTTCCAATTCGGCCCCCAGAAGACTTGATTATTTTCTTTATTAAAAAAATACCCATATTTTCTACGATAAAAACAGCTCTACTACTCTTTTATTACCCCATCCACTCCGCAAAGTAATAATTGAATTTTTCTATTAGAGTCAAGACATCAAGGGATTCGCCTTCTTCGTTTTTTATTCAATCAAACAATCAAATTCTTACAAGAGGCTCTTCAGCTGCGGGTGGTGGTAGGGGTGCTTATAGAGATGAATGCATTCAATGGGTTATAGAGGGGTGGACTTGCAGGGGAACAGCCACTTGAAAGGGTTTTCAAGACCCCGGCAATTGAGGCGACACGCGCGACGCCTTAAAGCGGCAATTAATGTTCAAATTTAATTAAATGCATTCTAAGTCGTCGTCGCCAATGCATCACTGGCATCACTCCCCACTCCTCTGTGCACTATACCCTTTAGATCCAGACCCAGATCCACCACCAAAAGCTAAAGCTAGAGGTTCAGCGTCATCGGATTTTAATTGCACACGCACCAGCAAGTAGAGCAGTCTCTACACCGAGAAAAAATACTACAAAAATATATTATTGAGTTTATATATTGTAACATAAGATATTTTCAAGGACAAGGTTATACAACTTCATAAAATAGACGATTATAAATATTATTGGCTTATACAATTTTGTAATATACATTATACTTTTATTTCTTTACTTATTAAAAATTATTTTCTAAATAAAATAAAATATTCTCTTTCAAAGTCCGTTTTAATGCCCAAACATGTTTATTATTACTTGACTCATTTAAAATTTTTTATAAATATAACTACCTATAATTCTCTATGTCTAACCATATAAGAAAAGTAATACTATATGTTGTGGCTTAGTTTTTTTAAAGTTCTTATTTGTTCGATTCTACGATAATTGAGGGGATCAATCCCCATTCTAAGCCCCCTTTGCACCCTGTTTCCCCCAACTTGCCCGCTAATTGATAAGCTAAGTGGCAAGTGCCATAAAAAAAACGAACTCGCTCCAGAATCCCGAAAGCAGCCCTAAAAAATCAAATAGCTTCGTTTTCCAACTCCGCCGCCCACTTCACAATGCCTTCTCCACGAAATCGAAATTCCAGCTAGATCATTAGGGCTGTTTTATGGACTTTGGGCCATGTCAAAAGATTTACAGCCAGCGGCGTTTGGTGACCAGATTTATGTGACTCGTGTTTAATGTCCCTTTACCAAGTATCCCTAGCACCTAGGGAAAATGCAGGCACCTGCTAAATGAGCACAGCCTCAGCAGTCCAAACAAGCTGAGAAAACGAGAAAAAGAGAGACATTGGACCGGGTCAAAAGCAAAGCCGGCCATAAAACCAACGAAAATGAGACAGGGTCAGGTCAGGTCGGTGGGTCTAGGTCTCAAGTCTGTTGCAATCCGAGTGTCAGCGTTAATGACCACAAGACAAACACGTGGAAATTATGGGAAAATGAAGGAGAGAGCAGGTCTTAGCCCGGCTTGAAAGTCGGACTGGGTTTTGATCTAGTTTTTTGGTTTGAGGGGAAGGGGTTCCCAGGGAACCTGTTCCTTGTGTTTTTCTCATAAACTTTAATTTAAACATATGTATATAGTTTTTGGAATCCCAGACAGGGGGTTACATCACTAAAATGAACAAGAAAACGCGATAAATATGTATATCCTAAACAAATTTCGTATAAACCCCTTTCCTCCTTCTATTAAATGTTTAATTGCTTAATTTTTGGGAATGCGTGTATTTCCACATCCAATTAGATCAGTTCCGGAGATTTGGAATGATATATAGTTCTTGACGACCAGTTATTTTTATGGCAATTGCTCAAATAAAATCACTCAATATCTGTATTTCAATAAAGTATCTTAAGAATATTAATTGTTCTATAATATCGTTTAAATCCAACGCTGCATGAGAGTTACACTTATTACTTTGTTAAAGTAGTCATTTTCTAGTTATGAACCGTTCTTATAATCTTTTGATCAATCTTGACTCCAAAAACTCGAAGTTACTAAACATTCATTGTAACGTTTGTGGTTTTAAGACCGCCAATCGGGCAAATGTGTCAATTGCGAGGCGACAAAAGCGATAACTTGGAGAACGCCCATAAGCAGCGGCTCCTTCTCCTTAATTCTTTTTTTTTTTTTGCACCACCTACACCCAACACACCCAGCACCACCCCCTCTATACCCCTCACCCACCGTCATGGGCAATTTGGCCACCAGTTTTGCCTTTGGGCACTTAAAGATTTCTTTTATTTTCGATTTTTCTTCGGATTTTCTGTTGATGTTGCTGCTGTGACGGTTGATGGCTGAGGTTTAATGCACAGAAAAAAATTCAATCAAGATTAAGTACAAAATGTATTTAAATCTAAAAAAGATTGAATAAATAATTGAAATAAATTTAATTTTATTGCATCACTATCAAAGAAAAATGTTGTAGTTACTACTTATAATTCCAAATGAAATGACTCAGATGCGAGTTCGACTCCCACCTCTTAGGAGTGAATTTTTATTTTTTGCCAGCCTTATAAATAAATTTTGTTGATATTTTAATACAACATTAACATTAATTAAAATTCCAGATAAAATGACTAAGGTGCGAGTTCGATTCTTACGGCATAGCAGTACATTTTTATATTTTGTCAGTTTAAAAAATACATTTTTTTGATTTTTTAATAGAACATTAACAATAACTGAAATTTAAACTAAAATGACTGAGGTGCAAGTTCGATTCCCACCGCTTAGCAGTGAATTTTTATATTTTGTCAGTTTCATAAATCAATTTTTTTAATATTTTAATGCACTTCAAATTTCTTATATGTATATATAAAATTATAAATATGATATTTAGAAGTTCTGAGGTCCTTTAAATTGTTTTCCCTGTGCATGGGTCTTTGGTGGTGTGTAGGTGCCACTTAATGGCCGCCATAAACCCAATCCTCGCCTTCGTGTTTTGTAGTTGTCGTACATGTAATTTCAGCTGTTGTTGTCGCAGAAGTTGCAGTTGTTGCTGCAGCAGTTGTTGCACGTTGCACGTTGCATGTTGCTGTTGTTGCTGTGGGTTATGGCTGAGCTTACGGCTGCAGGATAATGAACATTCATGTTAAACACGTTAAGCGAGTGAACGTGGGTGTTTTTTATTTCGGTTTTTTTTTATTTGTTGGTTTTTTTTTGGCAATTTAACCACCCCCTTTTTGCCGGCCCTACTTTGTTGCCATTTAGCCAGTTTTTTTTGCCATGTTTTCGATGGCTTTTGGCAAAGTTTCGCCGGAGAAATGTCTTTCCTCTCGTGGTTTTCATGCATCGGCAATTAGGCTTATTTTAGAGTTTCTCTGTCATATCTTTTCATAATCACTTGCTTTAATTGTAATGTTTATTATACCATTTTGTAACTTATATTTTATTTAGTTTTAATATTTTTTTCAATTTTCTTCATCTTATTTGCTATACTCAGCCTGTACTACTCAGATATACCATATTTTACTTAAAGTCATTCAAATTTTCTTTTGGTTGGCACCAGAACTCAAAGTATCTTTAAGATACCTTACCCTTTTCGCAACAAGTTTTCGACATATCCTGCTGGGATTTTCGCTACTTCTTGGCAATTTGACTGCTCATTAGCGAAATCTCTCGTGCAGACGCACCCAGACCCCTGAAGACCCCTTCACGAATCTACACCCACCCATTGCACACGTTTATCGCCCCGGAGTAATTACATTTCGGCAGGGCCAAGCCCCGAAAATATATAAAAATCCAAAGAGCCAACTGAAGTGCATTGAACCAAGTCGCAATTGTCGCTGAGTCTGAGTTGAACCCACCTAAAATCGATTACCATTCGGAGCCAAAGTGGCGACCCGCAATTAGTCGATAGCCATGGCTCTATATGTAACTATAACCCAGCAGATCCCAAGTGCGACTGACCGCAGATCGCTTGTCTTGTGAGGTTTTTGTGGTTGGCTCAGCTTACCAACACGTTAAGCTCAAATAAACATATGAGCTCAGTAAAACTAGCAGGTGTTTCGCATTTAAATTCTGTAATTTCCAACTTGAGCGGAAATCCCAAATATCATGTTAGTGTTAAAGTCTACAAAACGTTGTTGAAGCGGAATATCTAAAGTATATAATCAAAAATATCAGCCAACTGCAAAAGTCCACAAAGTTTGGCATTGATAAATGCCTAAATACATATTGATTAAATGATTGTGATAAAACGTAGATTGCTAGAAGTTTAAACCCATTATACCTGGCTATATTATGTTGCAAGTCATTTACAATTGAATAAAATCATTGAATGATGATGATATGATGAACTTTTTGTGGTAAACATTTTTTTCCAAACATTTAAACATCTTTTAGATCTCATAGATATTCCCTCTTATAAATCAATTTTGTAATCCCCATTTTTCCTCCATTTTGCAGTGTTCTTGTGGGAGCCCCATTGGATCAAAATCGACAGCCAAACACCTCACATTCTGGCGCCCTCTGGCGGTGTCCCATGACACAAAGTTTCAGTGACTGCGAACAAGTGATCACCGATGGCAGGCGATGTAAGTGAATCATGTCCATGATGAATAAAAAAAAATAACTAGGATCTATAGTCATAGATATAATGAAACTTATGCTCACATCTTAAGTTCCTAGGTTTTTATTTTTAGTTCGAGTCAAAATTACAAAAAATGATTAGAGAGTACGTAAATAATCTCAAGTTAGTCGATAACTCTTAACCAAGCTTTGGTATCTGTACCCCTATTATTTCCTATTCTAAGCCTGTATCCACATCGTTCCATTGGTGAAGGTTGATTGGTTTGTGCCAGTCATAGTTATTCATACATTTACATGCCTGTCTATAGACCTAGTTATAGTCGTAGAGTGTCCGGTTGCGTGGTAACCCCGCTAATCCTGAATCCCGCTCCCAACTGCCAAGTGACTAACCGGAGTGCCAATGGGTCAAGGGTCAACCGGGCCAAGCCAATCTAACCGATTCGCAATTTCAGTTTACCCCAATCTTCTTTTGGATCCCAATTTAGTCTGCGAGTTGTACATAAACGATTGCCAAATGCTGTACAAAGATCTGTGACTAAACATATTTAACATTTAATCAAACTCTTTTGCTTATAATTTTAAGTAGGAGGGAATGCTGTGATCGATAACCAGGCGACATTGCAAGCGATAAATTCGATAAATTGGAAATGAAAATTTAACTTTCTCAAATCAATATGACTACAGAAATTTCGTGTGATCAATCCCCCGTTTATTCAAAGGATTTTCTCATCGAATATTTGTTCAATCGCTCTTATCGATCATTTGTTGAATCGTACGATTAACCTACAAAGCGATCAGTCCTTGAATCGTTCGTTCACATGATGAGCACACATTTTAATTACTCGTATATACTCGTATTATCCTCTAGTACCTACTGTATAGATATCCATTTTTGTACTAGCATCTTATCCAAAATATAAAACACAAATAATTTTGAAAAATACATTTAATTTAATTTTTAATTATTTGATATTTCTTTCTCTTTTTTCTTTCTTATGTTTTTTATTTTTCCTTCTCTTCCCCATTATCTATTTGGTTACGCCAAAATCCAAATTCGTATTCGGTGCGCATAACTGGGAAATTCATTTGTGTCTCTGCCTCAACCTCAACCTGAAACCCTAACCCGCCCAAATCCAACTGTCCAAAAATACTGACAAATCTTTTCGATATCTGCCATTCGATAAATCGAACGAACGAACCCCTTAGCGAACGGAACATATGAGATTCAATTAAATAAGAGTAAGTGGTTTTGGGTGCTTTAATTGTTGTATTGCCCACCAAAAACCGATCCCAATTACCCGATTCCCGATCAAGGATCGCCGCATCTCATTGCAACCGCTAACACCCATTCAGTATTCAACCAGTATGCCGTAATCAGTTTCCATACTTTTGGTTTGCGCTTTGATTAGTTCACTTACCTATTTGATTTTGTGTTGAATTAACCCAGGCATTAAACATACTTTCAATTCAGTGCACCCATTCACGAATTCTTATACCAAAAAAGTAAATAAATCGCTTGTACATAAATATCTATTTTGCAAATCTTAAATATCTGCGATCACCGAATGTACAGTCACGCACGCATGCCTATGGCCGCCATATTGCTTTCCCCTGCCTCCCTCACTCTTCTTCTGCCTCTCACTCTTACTTTTACTGTTACTTTTACTGACCTACCACGCATGCGCGCACTAATTGCAATCAGATATAATATACCTAAGAGACTTGACTAAAATTACCCATCTAGCTGTGGAAATACACATATCTAAGAATGTTTGAATATAAATATGCCTTACTATTATATAATATTGTATTATCACTTGTTATTTATAATAATTAAATAGCACATTTGAATCACTTGGTCGCCGATATAACTGGGAATGATTTTTCTCATATTAACTATACATTATTACAGTTCTGACATAGTTAGTTTTTGCAAGGGAACACTCAAATGGTTAAATAAGCTTTTATCAAGCTTATACAATTAGTTACTGTTTAAACGTAACGTCTCAAAAGGCATTAAGGGGTTCTTTGATAAATGGAAAGTGATAAGTAAGTGATAAGTAGATGCTATAACATTTCTTAATCAATCGATAACAATCTAAACCAGTATAGGAAATATATGATATCATAAACTACCATTGGAAAGTCAAGATGTCTTTGGTATTGACAAAACTCTAGTTCTACAATGACCACATATGTTTGTTTCCCTAGACCCTTTTGTAAATAAATATATCCCATAATTACAACCCCGCTACAGTTTAGCTTAAAATAATTATAAACAAATATACGATAGCATTTTCCAGTTTTCTGTTTGGGGTCTTTTGCACGCTTCGATTCCAGCGACAACTTCATTATAGCCGTCACATGTTAACCATTTCCTTTAGCATGCCCCAACTGATTCTCGGAATTTTCACTCTTTACCAAGGGGGAGTATGGGGAAAAGGGGCCTCTTGAAAAATCCCAAAGCCCCTTAAACGTGGCTTCACATTTTCGGCGGCTTCAATTGGCGACTCATTTAGCGCTAATTATAAAGCCCTAACAACTGGGTTCTTCACTTAACACCCTAGTAGAGGGTGTCATATGTTTTTCCAGAAACGCGCAATGCAGTCAGATAAAGAATTGCGTCACTTAAAAATAAATAAGAAATACAAATGTAAGCCATTTTTAAATATAATTTAAATAACTTTCCCAGCTCTATTACTTCAGTGCTTTTGGTTAAAATCATACACCATTATTTGGTATCGTTTTTAGGAACCATAAAAAAATTCTTTATGAAAGGGTATTCAGTATTTTTGCAGTCTTCACTCGTATGTAAATCCATTTGCGCTTTTACCCTGCTGGGTGTTTATGGCCCCCTTTGTCACCCGAGTGTTAATATGGAACTGGGTCGGCTGCATTTTTTCGCCGCTATAACCGGGGTTCTTCTGTCGCTTCTTCTTCCTCCACTTCTTTTTCTTCTTCTTTGCTCTTTTGGCAATCAGAGCGTGGCCGTTTCAAGAAGAAGCATCTAAAAAAAATCTAAAAAACCTACAAAAGACGAAGAAGTGGGCTTTGCCAACGGCGCCGCCCAAGAACGTGACAAATTTCTCAAACTATGAGCACAGAAAAATACTTAAACGAAAAGCAGAACAACGGCTACACGAAAACAAAATTTACATAATTGCAAGAAATTTTCTTAATGCAAGTCAAAGTATCCAAGCTATCCAAAAATACAAATGCCAACCTATTAAATATTACTATTATCTTAGAAATTTTGTTTCAGACAATTGAATTTAATGTATTTTTCCAAGAGATCTTAAAAGATAGAAAGATATGTATATTAAAAAATGTTTGAGTCCTCAGCCATTACCAAAAATATGCCTAGTTTGAGTTTAGTTTCTCTAAAGTTCCCAAATTTTTTTAAAAGATATTAATCAAAGAATAAATTTAGGAGACATTTTCTTGTAGTGTATAAATGAAATGCAAAACAAATGTTGGCAATGGCATAAAAATAACTGCACATTGTAAAAAATACAGCGCATATGCGAATTCTTGAGCAAAAATAGCATCGGCATTTTCGATGGGCGAGAAAGAGGGCGGTACAAATGGGGTATTTTGGGTGCGGTTTTGTTGCATTACTGCACATTAGCCATCCAACCCCTTTTCCCGCATCATTACCTTCAGAAGTCCGAATTCTTTTCGACTCTAAGCAATGTCAAAAACGCAGAAAAAGGGGAAATTGCTGAGAAGAAAAGTGGAAAGGGGGAGTGACAGTGGGCGACTCGTCCAGCTGCGCGACTTTCACTGCGCAGGCGCGACAGACGGGCGCGTTTAAAAACGCGTCAAACCCGTCAAGAACGACCCACGCCCCACGGCAACCGAAAAAGATACGAAAAGAAAACGCTACAGCGAAAGAAATTATGATTCATATAAATATTAATGTTTAAAATTGAAATATTGAATTTATTACCCATAACCTTTGAAAATATCTTAGAAAAATGGAAATTCATTGAGATTATTTATTAGCATCATTAACAGTATTGGAATTTACAAAATAAAATTGTAATTTTTAATAAGTTTTGAAATTGAGTTGGACTATAGCAATCTCAAAATATTGGAATATTTTTTCTGTGCACCACAACTCCCCCTCTCTCTTTCTCTCTTTTTCTGTCCCTCTTGCAAGTGTAATAATCATTTATCATTTTTCAACACTTTGATGCTTTAAAATGCATTCTAAATCAATTTCGTTCGGCTCTCTCTCGTTCGCGGCTGCGCTTTCCATTTTTGTTTTCCCGCTCTTTTGCTTCTTTTCATGCTTCGTTTAATCAACAATTTTTTGTTTACCTCCCCCCTCCCCTTTTTTTTACTCTTTGTGCAACTTGCCGCCAACGTAAAAAAAAAAATAATCAAAAAACATGTTGCCTGAGAATCAGCTGTAAATAATTGAATTGTTGGGAGTTCGAAGTCGGTTTGAATTTGCATTTAACTGCTTTCGTTTCAATTTTGATTTCCAGTTGGAGTTGAACACTGGGGTGGACCTTCTGACCTACATTTAGTCGTATAGCTTATAGAAAATACATTACTATTCTTAAGGAGCTACCATTTCTACCAAGGAAGAAAACCATATTTTAAATTATGTACGATCAAATTTATAAAATTACTTATCAACATTACATTAATCATCTTCTGCAAATACATAAAAAAATTCATTAAAAATTGTTGGTAAAATATCAAACCCCATCTTTTTATGTACATAGGTTCCAATTCAATCCAACATCACAGGTACACATAAATATTTGAAAATCTAAAAAATCATAAATGTAAATCATATTGATTCTTCTGGTCTAACACAATTTTCAATTGAATGAAATATGAATTAACTAGTTCGACATTGAAATTAAAGGACTCATTAAAATTGGTGTCCCATACCAAAGAACCGTTTATCAAAAAAATATCTTTAAGAAACACCAAGGTCCACCCTACTGTACATATGTACGTATGTAAATTTGTGAATGATTACTGTTGTTTTGCCATATGTATATAAATATACATTTCTGTATACTGTTGATAATGCATACTACTCTTAGTTTTTTTAAGTTATTAATTATTATTATCGTTATTGTTGTTGTTGATGTTATATTATTGTTGTTGCTGACATGCACACACACACACATTTGTAAACACACGCACACGAAGACACAATCACACATACGATCACACGTTGCAAATCTTTTTTGGCAATTTCTAACATTGGTATATCTCTCTGCACTCTCTCTCTTCCGTCCGCGATCTGCACAATCTTCGCCCTACGAATTCTTCGTTCTCCGTTCTTCGCTCAGCTTTCGATAGCGAAATCCTCTCACCACCCGGTAACGATGAGATCAAGGAGGACCAATGGATGGGCGTTACGGTACGATCGAGTCCCCTGCAAGCCAACGGTTCCGGAGGAAAGGTGAGTTACTAAAACTCGTAAACCCAAGCAAAAGAAAGATTACAAAGTAAAAATTTAAAGATCATAATACAAAACCCCAGATCATTTTAAGATATAGCTACTTAAAATGAAAGATAAAACTAAAATATCCAAAGTTACTAATATCCCTAAACCCAAGTAAACTAAGATTATAAAGTGAAAATTTAAAGATCATAATACGTCAACCCCAGATATTTTTAAGATATTGCTACTTCGGGTGAAAGATTAGACTAAATTATCCAAAGATCATGTCCGGTTAAAATTTTTTCAGACTCTCACCATCGGATGGTATACAAAATCCAGCTCTTTATACCTTTATCATTCTTAAATATTTACACATATAGATCTATTTATAAAACCCATTTGCCTAATAAATCTTTATTATGTCACAGGTTGTCGTATGCGCCCATCGCTATATGTACATCGTTCGGGAGAATCGCTATGGCCAGGGTCTCTGCTATCTACTGACAAACGATCTGCAGTTCGAAGAGGTCCACGAACCCTGCAAGGGACGACCTGTGCAAAGGTGAGTAACTTGATTCTGAAGGCTGATGATGATCAAGGAATTTAAGAGGTTTCATATTTCTGTTAGGGGCCTCATAAAATAATATTTACACGGAACATTTAAGAGTATGTTTCACTTCCGGTTTACTGCCAGCAATATATTTTTTCCAAGAACTTGCATATAAAATATGAAACCTTTATAAGTAGGGTTACTGATAAGAACTGGTAAAAAAAATTAAAGCTTCCTAGAATGCCAAACAATTTATGAAGTAGGCAAAATATTTAGAATCTTAGTAAGGAATCGAGCAATACAATTATTTTGGATACGAAATCGTGTGGTATTTCTGCCTTAGGACTATACTTTTGAGATCTTAACATATGATATGTATATATAGTAGGTCAAGATATTTCGAATAAGGAGTTAATGCCAAAACTAATTTGGTATCTAAGAAATACCAGGTTGAGGTCATCATAACATCCCATTCCGATTTCCTCCCAGTTGACAAGGGTCAGTTCTTTGTTTGTTTTTTATTCCTGGCAGGGAAACGAAAGACAAAAAAGAAAAGTGTCAAGGTGAATTATCTTCACCGATGAATAATACGGGGGTGTTTCGCCCAATTAGCATTCAGCGTGTGTGGCATTGAGTGGGGGGGTGTTCTACAGAGGTCGGGGCTGGGCCACTTCAAGTGTGACACCGATGACGTCGTTGCAGGCTAAAAACGCACACTCATAAAGGTGAAATTTAATTTATTTAAATGACAGGAACGCGGGGAACGAGAACTTTGGGGGGATCCCACACCCATATGATGACCGAAATCAAGGAGCGGTTGGGAACGGGGGGTCAAAGGTGGCCATGCGGGGGGAGGGGGTTCTGAAGGCCTGTCATCATTCTGAATATGCAATTTTTCATCGAGCTAGAAGTCGCGTGTCCAAACTCGATTCGTAAAGCGGCAGGGGTTATAAAATATAAAATATAATAGGGAATAGCTGGAAAGAGGTAAAAACAAAAGGAAGTTGGATGGTCAACAGGCAAATGTTGACCCTGGTCATCCATTAATGTCCGACGCACAACTCCATTCGGGAATAGACAAATGGCGGGGAAATAAAGATATGCGAAAGAGTCCCTTTGTTGACCATGGTCATCTATTAATGTCCCAATTCGGGAATAACCTTAGTCATTGGGGTTATGTGAAAATGGACAAGAAATGTCCTTGGAAAAAGGTCGTAAATCAGGAACTAACTGGAATATTAGTGCGAATGGCTTATTTTTATATCTCCCATTAAATGTATTAGGAAATCAGATGTTAAGGCATAAATAATTTAATATCTAAGAGGCTCTACTTATACAGTATAGGTATTATCTTGGAAACCAATGATTTTGATGTTCCAAAACAAAATAGAGATGTTTCCAGTTTAAATACTGAGAGTTAGGAACAAATAAATCCAAATAGTATGAAAAAGAATTAGAATAAGGTATAGGGATGATGATAATGATCGTGTGGAAACCTCTTAACCATCCTAACTTGATCTCACCCCCAGACAACACGAGGATTACGGACTGTGCCAGGCGGGAACATCGGCTGCCCTTTTAGACGATGACACCATGGTGTTGGGTTCCCCTGGACCCTATACGTGGCGTGGATCCATCTGGGTGACCCAGGTGGGCGGGGAGTACCTGCAGCGCGACAAGACAACCTATTACAATGATCACTCGGACACCACGTCGAAGGTGGAGAAGTACAGCTACCTGGGCATGTCGGTGACTGGTGGCCGGTTCTTTGGCCAAATGTCATATGCGGCTGGAGCTCCACGTTCCCAAGGCCACGGCCAGGTGCTGATCTTCGACAAGTCCACCAATAATCCGATTCCAGTCCACTTGACGCTGGATGGTGAGCAATTCGGCTCGAGTTTTGGTTATGAACTGGCCACAGCCGATGTGAATGGCGATCATAGACCCGATTTGATAGTGGCAGCTCCTTTGTACTTCACCAAGTCGGAGGGTGGAGCCGTGTACGTGTACCAGAATGACCGGGATACGTTGCCACTGAAGTACACCCTCAAATTGACGGGTGCGCTGGAGAGTCGTTTTGGCCTGGCTCTGGCCAATATCGGCGATCTGAACAAGGATAACTGCGAGGATCTGGCGGTGGGAGCTCCATACGAGGGTAACGGTGTGGTCTACATCTACTTGGGCTCCAGCCAGGGACTGAATGCCAAGCCAGCCCAGAAGATACAGGCCTCGGAACTGGGTGGCATCCGGCCCACTGGCCAGCCGATTCGCACCTTTGGCATCTCGATATCAGGGAATACGGACCTGGATGACAACTCCTATCCGGATGTGGTGATTGGGGCATTTAACTCCTCGGCAGCGGTGATCCTGCTGGCCAGACCCATCATCAGCATCCAGACGAATGTGATCCGCGACCAGCTGCGCAACATGGATCCCAACAAGCCGGGCTGCCTCGCCGACCCCGCCAGCAATCTCACCTGCTTCACCTTCGAGGCCTGCTGCAGCATCGATCCTTATGATGAGAAGAGCAAGGAGCTCCGGTTGTCCTACAGCGTTGAGACGGAGACCTTCGATCATCTGAAGAAGTTCTCGCGGGTCTTCTTCGATCGGGATAATAAGCGGAGCAATGTGCTCAGCCGGAATGTGACGGTGCAGACGGACGGCAGGATGCATTGCCAGTCGATCACCGGTTACATCAAGGCAAATACCCGGGATATCCAGACTCCGGTCCGCTTCCGATTGAAGTACTCTCTGGTGGAACCACCACTGGCCTCCTCCGCCTTGGTACGCCTCAATCCGATATTGGACCAGACCCAGGCCCACATCGACTTCGAGGGCACCTTCCAGAAGGACTGCGGCGATGATGATCTCTGCGAGAGCAACCTGGTCATACGGGCGGAGCCGAACATCACACAGTCCTCGGGTGAGTTGGGGTTTCTCTAGCCTTTGGGGACCAACCTCTCTAATAACTCCTTCTAACCCTTGTTTACTCTTTAGGCAACGATTACACCTTAATCCTGGATGAAACGGAACTGGAGGTTCGCATCAATGTGAGCAATCTAGCGGATTCCGCCTACGAGGCTCAGCTGTTCATCGTCCATCAGGCGGGAGTGTCTTATGTGGCCACCAAGAAGCCGGTAAGTGGAAGCCAGGAATGCCTTGACTTCGCCAAAGACTCTACCCCATCTATATCTCTTCTTCCAGACGAATGCCACCTGCAACAGCTACAACACCACCCTGGTCGCCTGCAGTCTGGGTAATCCCATGCTGCGTGGCACCACCACTTTCGTGACCATACGCTTCCAGCCAAAGGGACTGGAGCCCAGCGAGAAGTCCATGCTGTTCCACATCTTTGCGAATACCACCTCTAAGTTGGTGGGACGCGAGCGACCCGAACGGGATCTTCTGGTGCATGTGGTGCGCCGGGCGAAGCTGAACTTACGCGGTTGGGCCATACCCGAGCAGAGTTTCTATAGTGGATCATTTGTGGCGGCTAGTCCGGCTGCCGGCACCGCCGTTTCCGAGATCGAGGGACACGGTCCCATGGGAATGGACGATGTGGGCTCCCAGGTGCATCACATGTACACCATCTTCAACGAGGGACCCTCGACGGCGCCCAAGGTCCAAATGGTCATCCATTGGCCGTACTCACTGTACAGTGATCCCCAGAGCGGGCGACAGCTTCAGTATCTGCTCTATCTGGAGCAGATACCCACCGTGGAGGTTAGCCAGGGCGAGTGCCACGTGGCCAAGGAGTATGTGAACCCGCTAAATTTGGCCAGTGGTTCGAGGGAGAATCCTGCTTACCTCAGTGCCCCGGCCCAGATGAGAATGTTCCCCTCGCAGTCCCGTCATCCGTTCAACAAGAGTATGATCCACTCGCAGAGGTCCTACTTTTCCAGCAGCCATCGGGAGGATCATACGGAGGATCACTCGCAGGCATCCCGCAATCGGGTGCGTCGCAATTTCCTGGAACGAGTCACCCGCCTGGAGAGGCTTATGTACGATCCCGAGAGCGGCAATGCGGCGGGATCCGGTGGCAAGAAGCAGGACATCGTGGAGCTGGACTGCAACAAGGGCACGACGAACTGCGTGCGCATCGAGTGCGATATCCTGAACATGCCCGCCCTATCCGAGGCCCAGGTGGTGGTCAAGGCCCGCCTGTGGAACTCCACGCTGGTCAGCGAATATCCCCGCGTGGAGCGGGTCAGGATCTTCTCGACGGCCACGGCCCAAATACCCGAGGACTATGGCGTCGAGGTGATGGAGCACAACAACATAGAGGTGAGTTCTATAAAGGATGATGAGTTCCAGGAATTGTTTATAATATATACTATCCCCCCTAACAGGTGGAGACGCGAGCCTATCCAGAGCTGAGGAACCAGCAGCGCGATCCATCGATACCCTGGCTGATCATCATCCTGGGCATCGTGGGTGGACTGCTGCTCCTGGCGCTGTTCACCTATGTGCTGTGGAAGTGCGGCTTCTTCAAGCGCATCCGACCCACCGATCCGACGCTCAGCGGCAATCTGGAGAAGATGAACGAGGAGAAGCCTTTCCTGGGGCCGGCAAAGAATTCGCATAATGTTTTCTAACAAGAGGGCACCGTCGGCTGGGATTTGGTGCGCCGCCGGAGGCGTCGACGCCGTCTAAAGCTGCCACTTCCGGTTCCGCAGCGGCCACGACATGGCTGGCGGAAAACTGCGGAAAAGTCCAAGAGCAGTAATAATAACAACAACAACAACAATGACAGCGATGTGGACGTGCTTTCGCTGACGCCGCCGCCGCCACCGCTCAGCATCCTCAGCTGGGGAAACGATGGCTACTACCAGGCCAGCGCCGCCTGGTGGGGTCACCACATGTGATCGGATGGGTCACCAGTGGGTCATGTGGGTTGTGGTTCAATGTGCCATTTCGTTTACTTAATGCAGCAGGCTTAGTTCAGTTCACCAGACGGAATTGGTAGCCGGGCTTCCGTCGCTGACATCAGCTAAATCTATTGCTTGGTCAAGGATTTAAGTTATAAATAATAAAAAAAAAACTTGAGACGTCTTAAAAATCAAAGAGATAATGTGTACTTCAAGTCCAGAAAAATAATCTAATTTTCAGATTTTTAAATATTTCGAACTTGGTTTCAAATTCAAGTATTGCTTTGGCAATAATCAAAATAGCCTCAACGTTTTAAGAAAAAAATGAAATTTTAAGATTGTTAAATATTCCGGACTTGGAAAATCCACCTGTTTTCAAATTCAAGTATTGCTTTGCAATAGTCAAAATAGCCTAAAAGTTTTTTATGGTGCTCTTAAAACCTCGACTTACTATAAATCAACCAAGGAAATGAAATTGACTTTTAATTGTAATGTTTTAAAGTCCTTGAAAGTGTACGATCACAATAGTTTATAGCAATGCATTGTTATATGTTCAGCTGATGTCGGTACTGAGCTTTAGTCTAAAGATTAGCTAAGCACCCAAATGTAAAAATGTCCATTGTCATATATAGATTTAAGCCTAAGCTAGACTAAGCTGAAGAGGACGAAGCGAAAATTCCGAATATCTTACAGAAGAAAAAACACTGCCAATAACAACAAATCTAAAGTGCCTCGAAATCGAACCGTAATTCCAATGTACTGGACACGTCTTAAACAAAAAAAACGAAAGTATTAGCACAAACTTAATGCATAGCTATAAATAATCCACGAGTAACAGAATTTAGCACACACACAGGCAAGAATATATTTTTTTTATAATTTTTCGCTTTTTTTCGGTTAAGTTAAGTTAGGATGAGTTTTTTTAATTGTGGAAAACACCAGAGATGTTGGTTTTTGTTTGTATGTATGTGTGGGGTCAACATGTAGTTAAATTAGTTGTAAATACAAATTCAATAGTACTAGCTGTAAATAGTAATTATGTTTCTTTAACTATTTAATATACGATTCCTTTTTTTTAAGAAAATTTGCTTTTTGAATTTTATTATTTGGCGGGAGTTTGAATCGAACATGTTTGAACGGGACATGTTCGGCGGGGACACTCAAAAAAATAAAGTCACTATTCTTGGTCTTATTATTAGGTATATTTATTTTCTTCAGCAATAATCAATGGCTTTTCTACTTCTTGGTATGTATAAGTGTATACTAATTGGAAAATATATATGTGTTATAAAAAACATACGTATACGCAAGTTTTCAAAACCTTTTAAACTTGAAAATAAACTTTTTCCCTTTGTAACTAAAAAATAAATTTTTAATTGGTACATTTTGTAGTTTCATAACCAAATTGAAAAATAAGTTGTCTTTTTATTATGGTAATATCAATTATTATTATTTGTTCCAATAAAACTCCATTCAAAAGCCAAGTGCTGCCAGACTTTTGACAACCTTAAAATCCCAAGACATGGCCACGCTATATTTTTTGGCGCGAACTTAAAAAAAAATGGTTTACGCATAGTTGCGAAATCCATTTACCCGGAAGCAAGAAAAGACAACCCAACATTTTAATACTCTGCCAAAAGGTCACAAGGCTTTCTTTTATTACAAATTTCAAGTTGCTCCAACGCGCCGATCTATCAATCGCAAATGTTCTGGTTTTTCTTGCCCTCGGCCGACATCGAAGAGGCAACGTTCGATTTATTTATTCATATGCATAGCTATAGCTATTAGTGGAATCTATACAGCATCGGTTTCTTGTATTCTACGCTAAACTCGACATTACATTCTAGACGTAGTACAAATGGATCAATAGTCGATTGTTAGGCTACAGCTATTGCTTAATGGTTCTCTCTGCTTTTGACTTGACTGACAGCCGAGTTGGATGTCTTTAATGTTAAAACCGAAACTTAAAGGCTGAGCTTTTCGAGTAGCCGCCAGTACCGCCGACTGTCCGCTCTACTGGCTGTTTGTTTATTTGATTGTTGAACAAGTTAGTAGGATGATGAAAAAAAAAAAGTAGAGACTTGGGCTTAGGCAAATACCTAATAGAGGCTTTCGGTGTTGGAGGAGCGCGGCTTCTTCAGCTTCTCCAGGTTCTTAATCACTATGTCGTGCAGCGAGGAGTAGCGATTTCGCACCTCGCAGACGACCAGCCACAGGCTGAGGTACTCCTTCTCGTCCAACTCGACGACGGCGCGCCGATAGTCATCGATGTGAGGATACTTGGCTACCTTGGACACCACCTTGGCGCGCGACAGGAAGTAGCGCGAAATCTGGTCGAAGAAAGCGGCGGCCTCTGACTCCACCGTCTGAATCTCGGCCAGCGTGTCCTCTTGGATGGAGACGCCAAAGTTGTTGCCATCCTCGATCTTGGGGATCATAAAGGAGATCCACATCTTGAGCAGATTGGCTGCGGGAAAAATATTGCATTAGTAAATGTTCTTAGGGGTATATGGTAATGATAGTAGTTAGTTAGTAACATGTTGACTGAAGGAACAGATTACAAAGGGGTTTTTAGAGATTAAAAGGGCTAGAAGCAGATCCAAACCTTGACGATGTGGACCCACAAACTAAGTTAACAGTTCTAGGGCTTTCTAGAGTTTCTAGGGGTACCAAGCACCCGGAGTACTTACAATCCTCCACCAGCTTCCTGATGATGGGCTTGACCACCTTGATCATCTCGCAGAGCGGCTTGTTGCACGGCACCGTTCCCGCGGGCAGCGCCAAGACCGGTTGTCCGGAGACGATGATGTCCTTGCGCTGACGCTTGGTTGGCGGATGATCGCCGTCCTCCGACTGGTTGTCCTCGTGGTTCTTAACGAGCACAGGCGGCAGGGCCGGGATGTTCAGGTCCTGGTGCACCTCTTCGAAGTTACGCTCGTTGAACATCGGCGTGGCCAGGAGCTCGTTCAGCTGGACGATCTTCTCGGGGAAGCGCTTGGTGATCAGCAGCTCCGCCTTGAGGATCAGCGAGTCCTTGTACTCCTGCACCTTCACCACAGTGTCATTGGGCATGTTTGGTTGGCTGTGTGCAAACTTCGACCTGCCGGATCCTGTCCTGATTGGTGCTTCCAGATCTTTCTACCGTTCCGTTCCGTTCCTTTCCTTTCTCGGCAGCGCACAGCGTTGCGGACACTCTGGAATCAAATTCTGGTAAGGACTTCTTCGGCGGATGTGGAAATTCGAAGCGGGAAAACCAGACTTACCGACAAATTTTGATGCCAAGCAACAACACACATGTGCTGCTAGAGCTGGGGAAAAAACTATTCGATAATTGCCGCCGTCGATGTTTGCAGAAATTTGGCAAGAATTTGCACGAAATAGCCAGAAGGGCCGAAAACAAACCGCAGCCCGAGCTAAGCCGGTGCGTAGGTATTTTTTTTGATTTTACAAACTCACCATAAATTTTGTGAACTTCTGTGTGGGAAATACAAAACGAAAGTGACAAATAGCAATATGGCATTAGATATCGATACCGATGCCTTTGTATCGATAAGTCAAACCGCGTGCCATTGGTTGCCAGACGCTCAGCATTAATCGCGAGGCGTTTGCGATAGTTGTTATCGACTATAATCGAGTGGAATTAAAATAAAACGTTTAACAATTAATAGAACAGGCTCACAAATATGAAAGCGATTTATTTTATACCTAGATACATTTGTATTATAGTTATAATCATGCATTTATTAGTTTAATACTTTCAGTTATTTTAGAGAAAAACACGCCACCTAGAGTGCCACACAGATACTCATCGCAGTAACATCGGCAAAGTAATCAATTTATTCAAGCGCCAATCGATGTTTTTCCAGCTCTATCTAGTTGGCATCTCGAAGTGCTGGCGATAGTTGGCATGTTACGTGTGTTTTCGGCTTCCTCGCTTCCTTCTCGTTCTCGTTTCCTTCCTCCTTGATTCCGATTCCGAGTGTTGTTTGCGTCGAGTGCAGTGATTGTGCGATGCAACAACATCCGAAATATTAGAAGAAGCGAACTTCAAAGTGAATCACCGCGTGCACCAACACACACACGCACGCACACATGCACACATACGGCGGGCAACAACAACAACGACGGGCATTATCGGGCAACAACAACATCTAACGCGTTGAAAACACTTATTGCGGAGTATAAATTCTTTTTTTTTCGCTGCATTTGCTGACTGGCTGGCCGCACGATCGTTCCGTTTCCGCTGACAGTTCCGCGAAAGAGTAGCCTTTTGAACTAGAAAAAAGGAAAACACCGAAAAAACAAACAAACAAACAAAAGTCGGGGGAAAACGCGTGTGTGCGCGCGGTCTGTTGCTTATTTTTTGTGGTTAAAAGACAACGGCAAAAATTGGAGTGACCAACAACAGTTAGCAATTGGAGCTTCAAAATGGTAAGTTTGTTTGTTTGTTGTTGCCACCGCCGCAGCTGGCGTTGTTGTTGCTGCTGGCATGACTTAATACAATTTCTTTGTTGCTAAATTTTGCCATTTTCCACACACACACACACGCACACGCATACCCACACAGGGACACTCACCCACACGCATTAAACAAAAACAAAGCGCCTGCAGAAGCGGAAGAAGAAGGAGAATAATGAGAGGAAGAAGAAGAGGCAACTCATTCAATAATTGTTTTTCTTTTTGTTGCCTCCGCGCTTACCTCTCCCTCTCCCACTTCCACTCTCTGCTACCACACCAGCCACCCACCCACACTCGCTCACCTTCCACTGCACCTTGTTGTTGTTTCGGTTTTCATTTTTTTTGGTTTTTGTTGTTATTTCGAGATACTTCTAAGGACGCATTTCGCTTCGCATTTTCGCGTGGCCTGGAACCATGTGTTTTGCCCTCCCTCTTTTTTTCCTCTTCGCTAGCTCCCTCTCTCTCCCGCACACGTTCGGCGTTTTTTTTTTGCTGTTCCGCACACGAGTTAAGCGAATTCAGTCGACAAAGTTGCGCTAGGTTAGGGTTAAGGCCATGCGACTCGGGGGCAACATGTGGGTTAATACTAAGCGGGGGGAGGTGGGCGGAATTGTGCATCATTAAGATATTAGTTGAATATGTCTTTTGGGGGCGGAACGGTTTTCAGAAATATCAAAACTTTTAAAATCTATAATGTGCATATTGGTATTTACTTCTTGCTTTGATTAAATGTTGATTATCTTTAGTTTATTCCGCTTTTTGAAACAGCTATGGTATTTAAACTTCATGAACTTCAACTTACTTCGTTAAATATAAATTATTAAAACCTTATATTTTGTATTAATATCTATCATTATTGTTATTTAACTATACATTTTCAAACAGCTTTGTTTACATAGTTGTTAATTTTTGGGTTCTAAAAAACATTTATAATTTAATTATGAGTAAAGTAAGAAACACTGAAAATATACTCCAACTTTTTAAATAATTAAGTTGACAACTTTGGTTTTCCACAATTTGAAAAGCACTCGATCGTGGAATTGCTTAAATAGAGTTTGTATGGAACAGCTGGTATACAGCTGGCAAAAAATAATAAATTTGTAAGTTTATGGAATACCAAATTATGTACTTAACATTAGACTTTAAAGGAACAACCTCTTATTTTTGTAATATTGTTATTATTGAGTTTTAAAGATTGAGACGCAAAGATTTTTCAAGGGTCCAACCTAATATTTCGTTATAGAAATGTACATATACATATATCTCTTTTGTTAGTTTAACTTTGTAAGACTTTTGTATTGTACATTTTAACACAAGTTTGTGACCCAATGATACAAAAAACAGAATATTTGTCTTACATACATATATCCGTTTTGTCTGAACTTTAAATCTTATTCCTTAGCTTATCAATATCGTATGACTTTACTTTATAAGCATAGTTTTACCATTGTTTTTTAAAGTCTTCAAGTTTTTGTGGTCGGCTGAATGTAGAGTAGAGTAGATTTTCCTCAGTTTAAAACCTATAGCAGACCTACCACTAGGAAATAGAAAGGCATATAAATAAAATTTATAAAATCAAATAGATTTTTAAAAATTGAAAATTATAAATACCCGTAAAAGGTAAAAGGGTATATTGTATTCATGGAAAAGTTTGTGCCAGGTAGGATGAAGCGTTTTCGACTTATAAAGAATATATAAATACACATTTAGTATATATAGCCGAGTCGATCTAGCCGTGTCCGTCTGTCCGTGCTAACGCTGTTCTCAGAAACTTTAAGAGCTTAAGGGTTGAGATTTCTTATATACATAGATTCCTTAGCTGCTGATTCAGCTTCAGTTTGTTATTTTAATGATCCACGTCCGCAAATCGTCCAAATCAGAAATGTATTGGTTTTCCACGACTACTCTAACTTCTATATCGCAAAAATCAGTATGGCGCCCACATATTTTAAGATTTTGTATCTCCATTCTCTCTATATCTCAATCTCCTTTGCGTTCCTAGTATCTAAGTAACGGTTATCTGATAGTCGAGGCACTTGACTATAGCGTTCTTTCTTGGTATAGTTTGTTTTAAAGCTTATCGAAAATATATAAAAGGTGGACTTACTAAATATACTTAAAAGCTGTGTAGGTTTCACATTATAAAAAGTATTAAGGTCAATTTTTAAGGGTACTTTAATTTTTTAAGAACTAAAACTTCGTTGTTATTTAAATTAAATATTATGTACACATTTTTTGAAAATATCTTAAGATGTTTTATTAGGTAATGGTAAATAAATAAGTGAAATAACCTAATTGAAATTAAGAAATATAGCATGTTTTGCATCGAATTGATCCCATTATGCCCTTATGCAAGGATAGAAATACTTTTTTTTATTTCATTGTCTAGTTTAAAACAATCTACAGCCCTGAGTTCAAAGGAGTTCCATTAAAAAACACCAAAACTAATGACCTTATTCATCCATTATCATTTCTTCCCCTATTTTTTCTCGTTGTCCTTGTCACTTGTTGCTCAGCGGTGACGGCAACCACAGAGGAGTGAGCAACACCTAGTCGGGACTCGAACCGGTGACATGTACTCCCACTTTTTTGGGGGATTCCCCGGCAAGGGGTTTTCACTGTAGCTCTGCAGCTACTGCAGCTGCATCCGGGAAATGCATCTAGGGAAAAGCGAATTGCCCCTCCCACAAGCTGCGCTGCCTGTCCTCTGCTGCAATTCTGGGCCTTTCTGATTGGGGGGTGGGCGAGTGGTCCTTCGAGCCGTGTTATTTATCGCCATTTCCGCTTTGGCCACTGCATTCCATCCTTTTTGGCGCCTGCGCCTTTCAGCCTTTCTCGGCCTGGTCAACTTCGAATTGCCAACTCCCTGGTCCCCTCAAAAGCTGATTTTCTCCCCTCATTTTGTAACATTTTTCACGTTTTATTCCATTGCCCCTTTGTTTGTGTCCTTTTTTGTGCGCTTTTATCCGCACCTTTTGTTTTTATTTTTAAATTCGCCAACCCTCTGCTATAAGGGTTATTTTTTTTCGTATCATCTATTTTTTTTTTCGGCATCAACATGTTGATGTTGCTTTTTGTGTGAGTGGGTGGTGTGGGGGTGTGTTTAAAAACACATGTTTTTGGGCAGAGATTTCCAACATTTCCCTTGTTGCAAGGTCATTCGTTTTGATTTTATTTTGTGTGTCAACAAAAATGTTGCAATCTATAAATGGATTTGTGTGGGTGGAGAAGTGAAGAGCTGGGCTTTATGTGGGAGTAAACAATCATTTTCCCTTGAAAACTCAATTGGAAAGGATTTAAAAGATGTCCTTAAGGATATATTTAAGTTTTTTGAGCTTAATAAACCTAATCTAAATATAAAATGTATTAAAAATACATTATTTTATTCATGAAAAAATTAAAAATGATGTTAAAGCTTAGAATTAATATATTTTATAATATTTTAAATAATTATAAAGCGATATACCTAGGTAAAAATGTTTTCTAAATGTTGCACTAAAATAATACAAGCTATGTCGATTTGAAACAAAATGTCTATCAACTTTGAAAAACTTTAATAAGGTTTATATATTAGGTTTTTAAAACTATTATATTAGTTATCAAATTATATAGGCAAATCAATTAGATATATTATTTGTTTCCTTATAAGTAAGAATCAAATATATGATCTATGTATTCGTAATCTTCAATGAATTCAGCACCCAAGTATATTTGGTTTCGTTTAGTGAAGGGTCTGCATTGAAGGTTTTTCCTAGCGAGAGTTCACTGTGTTCACTGCATCCATTAGGTTCGGCTCGTTCTGTTTGCGCTGCTTTTGGGTTAAGTCCCTCGCCAGTTGCTTGATCCCGGAGTACACAGCGGTACAAGGTATATATGGACGCATATAGCCAGCGAACGAGCCAACCAGACCCGTCGCCACCCTCCGGCCCCCTTTCCGCCCTCCTTCCTCCCCCAAGGACATGCCCACATCCACATCCACATCCACATCCGAATCCACATCCACAGCAGTCTGTCTTGCTCTAATTGCTGTGCATGCGCTACAGATTGCTGCTCCTCCTGTCCTCCAATTTTGAACCTCCCCCAAC